GCAATAAATTATCTTATAGTGTATCATTATGCAATTTTGCAAATTTCCTGAAGCATTTAGCGTCTTAACAGTCATTAGAAGCAATTGGATAAATTAAACACAATGTACTTGGTCAATAAAATTTTTAATAATTTTCCATTAGATAAATGACATCCGTTTAAAAAACATTATTGTATAAATCTTAAGATTAGATCATAAAAAACTTAATAATAAGTGCCATTTTTAATAGGTCAACATGTCAACATATTTAAATGAAAATAGTGATTATTTTAGGAGGTGGTATTTTCAAATGAAAAATAAGGTTTTAAACGTTTCTTATAAATATACAGTATACTTTCTGAAAACGTCATACCGATATAAATGCGGCATTTTTGACATGTTGTCTTACTATATTAACTTACAAATAGTCGTACTTGAAAAATAACATAGCGAGGCACTGGTTCAAGACATCAGTGGCGTACCGACGTACCAACTGTATTATTTCAAATATAACACCCCATATATTTATTAACAAAACCATGTCCTATACCTAAAGTGAATATTTTTCAAGATTATTTTTTTTCGTTAAATTTTGACAAATGCACGTCAATCAAAAATAGCCTTAACTTTTTTGTTATTAGGTTTGCGGATATGACCTTGTAATTTTTGGAAATATTGTTTAAAAGACGAATTACCAGAGAAAACCCCGGGCCAACTTGCAACGTTAATAACTTTTTATTTAAAATGTAATATCCGATATGTTTTTACATAATCAAATAGAAAATTATAAAATCTTTTGATTGATGTAACTATTCCCTATGCTTAAAGTTAATAATTTTAGAGAAATTTAGCAATTTTCAAAATTTTAAATATTATTTTGTATCAAGAAATCTGTGACGGGTGTGTTGGCGGTATCTATGGTTACAACGTGAGCTGTCACTGAACAATTTCTTGGCTAATTAAGTGTTTTGTTAACAAAATTACTGATAAAAAATATTGACAAACCAAACATTCTTAAAGTTTAAAATTAATCCGAACAGTATTTGCTAATTTAAAAAAAAACTTAACAAAGTTGTGGGATGTCAATTAGATGAAGCAATAGCCCATTGGATGCAATAAAATATAAAATTTATTTTAGGAAATATTTTAATTAACAAATTTTATTACCAATTTATTATTAAATGTTAAAAGTGCCTCAATTTACATTCATGCATTTCTTAATTCTTATTTCTACATTAGACCAGTGTTTCCAGTGGTTGGAAATATAAAGTAAAAAATTTGACTTTTAAAATGTACCAAATTTCCCTCTCATTTAAATGCAATAAAAAAAAACGTTTTTGGGCTTTTCGTTTTTTTCCTAAAATTAAATATTGCGCGATGTTGCCAACAGACGAATATGAAAATAAAACGAATAAAGATACATACAGATAAATGACCGCGAAGTAAGAGAAACAAGGCAGCAACTTTATTGAAAATAGGCAAAATATTGAAAATACAAAATATCAAAATTTAAAAAAATCATGAAAATGTACCAAAGTAGTCCTTGTAGTACCTTTGTACCACCAAAGCACCAAACGAACCAAAAAGGTACAAATGTACCACCTCTGGCAACACTGCATTAGACCTGCTCTTCTTGACTAATATTAGAAATTGTTAAATATCTCTGAAATTATTAAATTTAGGTATGAAAAATAGTTTCATCAATCAAAATAATTTGTTGAAAAATGCTAAATAATTAATTAACATGGAATCCTTTAAATAATGTTATCCGCAAACCTAATAACGAAAAAGTTATAGGCTATTTATGATTGACGCTCATTTGTCAAATTTTAACGAAAAAAATGAACTGGAAAACTATTCACTAGTATGTGGTATGGTAATTGTACTCAGAATTTATGTAGAATTTAAAAATGTAAATATATATGGGGGTGTTCTATTTAAAATAACAAAGTTGATGTCACTTCCGGCAAAACCGAAAGTGTCATTTTGTTCAAAATATTTTAGAAAAATAAACCAAATTGGATTATAAACGCTTTAAAAATTTCAAATCGATGTATATTGCCGTTCCCCAGAAACTTTTAATGGACCACGATCGTAAAACACCCTGTATACATAAGTCAAAAGACACGAAACACGTAGTAAAAATCTAGACTGCATATACATATATTTTTTTACGAAAACAAAACATTATTTCCAACTTTTTTACACTGGACCGCTACTGTACTCGAATGTCAATATCCTTAGATTACCTAAAGGACATATTAGGTAATAGGCGACATCCAGTTTTTGTCCCGCAGCGGTAGTAGCAATGCCGTTTAGTCTACCTCGCCCTCGGAAGGTCGTTCGAACACAATTAAAAATAAAAATAAATAAACAAGTACCTACTTAAACTTAAACAACATAAAAAAACAAAAAATTATCTAATTAAAACCCAAGAATATCCTTTAGTTGCCAAGAAACACATTTAAATTGTTAAAATCATCAACTCCCAAGCTTTCCAACATTATAATCGCTATATCCTTGCTTTTAAGCTAGGCAACCCAGATATCACGCAAGGGTGTAGTTGTGTTGCCTACATTGCATAGTCTACGCGTGCTCCGCTATATAAAGACCCTGACCTACCGCGACATAAATTGGGTATGGTCGTGAAAAAACGCGGGAAAAACTTTGAACGCTTATAACTCGAAAAGTAATTGAGATATCGTCATGAATTTTTAGTATGTTGTTTGTGCATGCATTACTTATATTTTGAACAAATTATTTTAAAATTCATCCATAAATTTTGAAGTTATTCCAAAAAGGGTATATGCTTGTTAATTTATTGGCTCGTATTTATAGCGACGTTCTCGTTTTGGCCTGCGAGGTCTCGAAAAGGAGATCCCGACAAACACGCATAATAAACATGCAAATTCAATTATATTATGGATGTCGGTCGTTTGTAAAGTTTGCCTGCACATTGGCGAATAGTAAATAGCATTAGGTATTATGTTAATCAGGAGGAAGTGGATCGCGGTGTGCCTGCGTTTCAGTCGCAAATTAGATGTGGACATGACAGGGCACGTCAGACCCACGTAGATGTGCACGTGGACACGTGTATCATTATTGCATCAGTGGGTAAAAGTACCGTTAGATACTTGAGTTTTTATTTTCTGTAAATATGCATTTAGTACTGGTTTTATAAAGTAAATTTGCTGCAAATTTAAAAGTATTATGCAGTGTGGTCTCACTTATGGGATAAAATTCGTTATTCGATGAGATATAATTATAATTACAGAATTTTTGCCCCCCCCATTTTCTCGCCATGGCGCGCCACCACATTATGCACATTTATCTTAAAAACATCACCCATTTTTTTCATAGTGCATATTTGTGTTTTTTTTTATAGTGAATATTTTTTTGAGTACAGACTACAGAGTGCGGCAACAATTTCACAGTAGATTACTTAAGTGTCAGGAAGCATGTTGAACATTTATAAGAATGAAGAACTGTTTAAAACCTCCTAATTTCTGCAGTTATTCTGTTTCTTAATTCATCTTAATAAGCAGGTTGTGTTTTTTAGACGTCCCCATAGGAAAAAGTCTAGAGGTGTTAGATCTGGTGACCTTGCTGGCCATTCTATGAAACCTCGCCTTCCGATCCACCTAGGTGGAAAGATGTTATTTAAACAATTCCGTACAGGTGGTGCACCGTCTTGTTGAAGCCATTTCCTTTTATTGGGAAGATTAGGTTACAATGGATTTGGAAACAACTCTGCTAAAGTTGTTTTTTCATCAAACAACGAATTTTATTGCAAAAGTGAAACCACAAAAATATAAACAAAATATAAACTTAATTTAAGACCTAAAAAAATCCATATTTATATGAAAAAATTCACCCTTCATAAAAAATTGATTGATTTTTATTATAAAATATTTATTATATTATAATAAATATATATATTATTCAACACGGTTTCCCTACCATGAAAAATTTTAAAAGATTTTGAAAATAGAGGTTAAAAAAACGTACCTGTCTCACAGTTTCAGGAAATTTTTTATACAGCCATTCTTATTATTTTAACATATACAGATATTTAATTTTAAATTTTGTAATAATAGAATTTTTTTCAAATATTGTATGTTTTTACATAATACAAAAATTTTACTTTAAAAAATAATAATTTTAATTAAAAAAAATTATATTTTAAATTTTTTAATCAAACAGATTTGTATTTATATTTTTTCAATATATGTATGGTCTTTTAGTTTAACGATTAAACATTGCTTTAGAATCTAGTGGTATCACAACCTAACAAACACCACATGGTATATTTCGTAAACCCCCTTTATAAAATTTAAATCATTTTAAAATGTTTTAAAAACTATAAAAAATTAAATTTTGTCGTACTCTGTAATAACATAAAATATTAATATTACTACAAAATTTAATATTATATTATAAAGTAATTTTTTTATTAAAATTATTTATTTAAATTAAATTAGAGAAAAGTTGCATTATTACAAGCCTATTAACATAAAAATTTTAAATTGTAAAATGGTCAGCGGTTCTCAAAATACTTTATTAAAAAATAAACTAAAGACATTTTAAAATCGTTAAATCGTAAAAACTGTGTATAACATGTGTATATTAGAATTTAAAATGTAGAATAATAACATTTTAAATTCTAATATATTATATATATGGCGGCCATGAGAAAATCAAAATATGGTGGTGCATGCACCATGGTATCTTAAAATCTAGTAGGCGCAAAACTTACTTTTTTAAAATTCACAGGAATAACATAATTATAAAGATTTTTGATTTTAATAGACTTGTAAATATGCAACTTTTGTTTAATTTAATAAAAAATATACCTACCCTGTATGATAACTTGTTATATTATGGATGTTGGAATATTTTATTTATTTTATTTTTGATAAACAATTATTGTTAAGATATACCCAGTTACATTATATTTTACGATGGAGCACTTTTTGTTAATCATAGGGTAAAATTTTAGAAAAAACTTGACTTAACCTTACCTTGCTTTCACAGACTTTGTGGCAAACATATTTGCAAACTGAAACAAAAAATAAATTATTAAAATGCAGGATTAACAGAAATCACTAATTTCAAATCAGTAATGGTATGCAAATATACAATGTATAGCTGTAGATATATTTGTATTTATGTTTGACAAAGGGTTTGGTTCCGCCACTGGCCTAAATACACTTGTAATTTACAAGTAACATTGTTAATTGATTAACTTTAATTAATTATTGCGTATCTGTTTCGTTGAAACATTGAAATTTATTAAAAAAGTAATAAATAAAGTTTCTGTAAACATTTTTGTCACTCAACTTTCTCCATATTAACACGCCAAATCATTGAAGAGATAACCTTCGCAAAGGTCACACAAATCAAGCACCTTAAAAGCCACCTTGATTCATTTTGGCATTCCAATTAAGATTTCCATCAATTCGCAACGCACCTCTGTCTCTCCATCTCGACGTGTTGCAACTTCAAATCGCATCAGACTGTAATTCGAATAACCATCGCATTACCTGTGAGATAGATACCCGGCGCGTCTTCGAAAATCCGCTTAGGACGTCCCACGTTGCCGTGCTTATAGATTTACATTAGCACAACACATCAAGTGTCAGTTTTAAGTGGATTCGCATACAACTAAATTTTGACAATCTTAAAGTTTCAGATTAAGCAGGGATCAGCGTGAAGTCAGCCACATGCACATGTTTTTTTGTCTGTCATCTAGCAACACTGTATATTTTAGTTATGTTTTTATGTATGTATTTGGGGTTACTACAACACAATTATAGTTTTTAGGCGTTTAGCTGGCCACCAAGATCCTCAGATTTACACTGTTATAAAAATTATTAGATTTGTTAACATGAGTTTGTTAATTTTATTTTGTAATTATAAAGTCTCGTCCTAACACTTGAAGTGATAGGTTGAGCTAGAACCCTCCTAAGCAGTGTAAACGATACAAACGCAAGTACCAAAAACGAATCTAAGAATCCGGCAAGTTATCAGAGGCAAGTGAATCAAAATCAGTAAAACGGAAAACAAAAAATAAAAATTAAATAAACAAGAAAAAAATAAATAATAAGTTTGAAAAGTGCGGGTGGCCCCCGGTTAAGTCACAAAGTGCTATAACGTCGTAAAAGTTTGTGAGAGAGTGAGTGATTAAGGTTAGGTCCGCTAGGGATAGAAAAACAGAATTCAAGTCTAATTAGTCCAGCTAAGTAATTTTCCTAATTGCATGACCTAATAACAGTACCAATTCGATTCTAATCTATAAACTAATCGAGACAAAAATGTCATCTGGCTTCAGAAAACAAACAGGTCCCTACACTGAGAAAAGTAAACTATTTCAAGTTTTAATTATTAACTGAACAGTTTTAGCACATTCAATACGACCAATGCGCATAATTGTTTATTTGAAAGTCTCGAAATGTTACCTACAGTCTTTACTTTAAACTCCACAGTTTTTGAATATACATTTTTCCAAAAATAGTAGGTGTTTCAGTAGAATTAATTTAAAAGGCTTATTGAACATAGTAATTTTAATTTTTTTTATATTTGATAATAACTTTAATGAATTTGCCTAAAATTGAAGTAAAAAATGCAATTATGACATAAATTTAACTTCGACTTTGATCAAAGTCTTTGAATAACTTTTGAACTCATTGGTTTATCGAAAAATGATAGGAGACATTTTTTGTAGAGCGTTCAATTTCCCACAAAAAAAGGAATATTGCGCATAAAGATCTGTTAATTAGTTTGTCAGCTAGAAAATTATAAAAAAAAAACAAAAAAAATTACCATGTTATTTAAATGGGAAATAGAAATTCTCGATGCGCGACCTCTAAATATTAAAATTAAGAGCTCCGGTTTTCACAGGTGTCTTTTTTTGGTACCGTTAAGATATTACAGTGCGAAATTTAAAAAAAAAAATAGTCGATTTTTTGAACCAGCCTAATAGGTATGTAGGTAATTATTTTGTTAAGGAAATTCTTTTCATTTAATTTCACAACTTCCAACAATAGTTATTTGACTTTTAATGCAAGTGTCATGACGCCCTGACGCGGCAGGCCGACCTTGAAGAAAGCTTTTCTCACAAGTGAAACACAATGTTTTTTCTACGACTAATCTGGTTAATATTTGGTTAAAATTAACGAATATTTTTTTACTGTGCAAGCTCCTAGACTTTTTACGGGTTTATCTGAAAATCAGAGTATTTCTTCCAAGGCATTTTCGACATGAGAACCACGTTTTTTTGAGTAAATAATGTTACAATATCGTAAACAGTTAAACAGAGATAAGGAGTTACTGATCGTTGGCTAAACTAATTATATTTTTTGCTGTTGTGCGGCTTTGAACCGTGCCGAACAGTATTTAGATAATTAAGCGTTTCAATTTCTTCGTGTGATTGGTTTTGTTTATTGCCGCTGGTAATGTGTGGATTTAATTTTTAGAAGATGCTTCCGAGAAGGAATTAAAAGTATGGAGTGGTAGAAATTCGTGGAATATTGCTAGGAAATTATCCAGGGAGTGTGACAAGAACTAAATAGTAATATATAATATTATTATAATATTAATTAATAAGTAATATTTTAACAAAAAGCATGAGTGCTGGTGGCAACAAAAATCCAAATCGAAGACGAGGATTTTTGCACCTGCACGAATGCATTTTGTTAAAAAATATTACTTGGCATTGTGTTTTTTCGATTTTTTTCACAGGAATTAGATGCCCGAATGGTATTTGACAAGACTATTTCATGAGTATCAGTTATTCTGTATACACATAGCTTACAAAACACTACCTATTATACATGCATACCTAATAAATATGTATTAATTTTGAAAACTGTAAAAATAGGTAATTTATTTAATCACAAAATACTACAAACTTAATTATTTTTGGTGACAACAGCTGTCAAGTTTTGCCGCGGGTAAACTCGAAAAAAACTGCTGACAGGTGCTGTCATACAGTTTTTCCACCTAGAAACAATTTTTAATTCAAAATTGCGCGTTTGTGATTGGTGGAAATTAAGACGAGGGAAATAGTCGGTAAAATTTTACCACTAGTGGTATTATATACGATAAAATAATTACAAACCCTGGTTTTCTAAAAAAAAGTATGTTAAAATTTTACATAATAAAATTAACAAACTACAAACTCATCTTAACTAATCTGATTTTGATAACTAAATTAAAAATTAATAAACCTCGAAATGCGTGAAGCGATAAAATCTCCACGCGGCGAAAAATTTATAAAGGTTCGGTAAAGGCGCGTGAATATCGTGTTAAATAATCGGTGATAAATTTCGACTAAATTTAATTTTAATAAATTGTCTTATCTGAAAGCAATTTTGCGGAAGATTAATACTTTTTACCTCCCACGCGTTGAGGATTAATATAACCTAAACGACAGTTACGAAACCGAGTTTTGTGCATAATTTACTGCTAATTGTTAAGTCAAGAAAGAGATACAAATGATTTTGCGTGACCTCCTCAAAAAACATCGAAATTTCCGCAGTCGATAAATTATGCACGAATGTGTTGATAATTTAATCATAATTTATATCGGCAATAAAAAGTTTTTTCCGTCTTCTTGTAAGATACTGCCAACTCGTTTGAGCAGCCGTAAATAATGAAGTTGTTAATAAATTGATTAATAATTGCAACGAAACCTGCTATTAAACGTGTATGACATTTACATGGCAATTTCCGGAAACACCCGTCCATGCGAAAAGTACCACACAAGAACTCGGTCACACTATTTTTTTCTAATGTTCTATGGTAAGGTTTTTGAGATTTGCATTTTTTCATTTTGTTTTTCGAATGCAGCTTTTCAATTTGGGACACATTTCGAGTTAGAAACTCAACATAATTAAATCGCCGACCAATATCACTCTCTTAATTCCCATGGGATTGCAATCAGTTAAGCTAGCAAATCCAATGCTTTTATCAAGGAAGCTAGGCTTCGATAGCCATTGGTGACGGTTGTTTATTTGTAAAATTCATTAAAAAATGTGATGGGCATTAAATAAGATATCAACGAAAATATTTGTGTTAAAGCGGCCGCATTAAGTTCAAATTTCTTTCCAGAAAAGGAAGGAAGGAAGGATGGCTACGAAAAAGAATATTAGGCACTTCAAATTTGGCTCAACAAAAAAATGTGTCTGACTATAGAAAAGTTACACTTTATGAACAAAAATAATGATAAAAACGTGTCTCAAACTACAGGAAAATATGGACATTTCTAAGTTAGTACCTATTACGATTAACTTCTTCAGATGAACTTTTTTTAAACAATTTTACAGATATGGAAAGCTTTTTACATTCTTGAAAAGTGGTGCTACTCAGCAAAGCAAATAATGCGTTTTCTTGTGTAATCTTCGGACAGTCAATTTTTACCGGAGAAAATCGTAGTAAATTTTGGAGCTTGCCGCCGCACAGTGTTTCAATTATCGAAAATATCGGCAAAACCTCAAAAATTCAGGTAAATTTTGAGTTAGATGGGTAGTTAATAAATGTCTCCATCCTGTATTGAAAAAAAATTATATAAAATAGGTACGTATGTTTTATCTTGTACATCAGTTTAAAATTGACGCTTTCAGTTGAAGGTACTTTACACGCGATCGCTGCGGAAAATTGTTTATTGTTTAAAAGTGAATAACTTGTGTTTGGTGTGTCCGATTGTTATGCGGTTTAAGGAAGGGTGATCTTCAAGGTATGTAAAATTCAGATATGTATTTGTTTTTCGTAGATTTTGCTTGTACAACGGGTTATTGTAACCGACAAGATCGGTCTGTTAAAATCGCAAACTTTATCTTTATTACTTTATTACTTTGATCAACATACAGTGCGTAAGTTCTCTACATATGGAAAACTTTTTTATTATTAAGTTTTCGAAAAAAAGTTACTTTTATAAAAAGTTCTGCTTCCTGATAAAGTATTATTAGACTATTCAAACTTGAAAGTTGAAACAGTATGTAAAGGTTGGTTATAAAGTAGGATAATTTAAAAATGGCCCAAGAGAGAACTTTTGTATTATTAATTTTACAAAAAAAGTTACTCTTTATAAAAAGTTTTGCTTTCTAAAAAAATATTATTGTACTATTAAAACTTAAAATAGCATGTACAGGGTGGTCATAAAATAGAAACATTGATAATTGGCCCAAGAGAAAAGAACCATTATTTTTAAATTAGGCCAAAATACAATAGAGAAAAATAGTGGAACCGAATGTTCATTTATTTTTTGTTAATTTGTAAACAAGTGTAACCAGAGAAAACTGGTTAAATGTTTGGTAAAATGTCATTTTGCATTTTTTACAGCTCTATATCTCGCGCGATAGCTTAAGCCACCAATTTTACAAAAAAACTCCTTAAAAGCCTACTTAAAAATCTTTTGAATTGAAAAAAGGAGTAGAAAGTTCCCTGTTTAACTGTCCCCAAAATGACGACTATAGTCGCTATATATAGCTAAAACGACATTTGTATATTATTACAAAGTAAAGATTTCAGTTATATTAAGGCATACTTAATATACATTGTACGAAGCACATTATCGATATATAAAAACTCCATCATCATCACACCAAGATAAATAAACACAATTATCAAATTGATGCGTCATTTATGATTAATTGGCATGAATGAGGAGCTTTCAAGCTCGATTTGTCGTTTACGATGAGAGCCAATCGTGTGTTTACAAATTATTACAGAAAATTAATTAACTCTGTAACGGTTGATGCGGAATCCGTTTTTTTCGTCCATTTTCCTACACATGATTCTATGCCGTCGTTTATGTGTTTATTATGTGTAATTAAATTCTCGAGACACTTCAGTGGGCGGGATCGTTTTTCATCGTAACTGATTAAAGCGCGGATAAAAAGAGAAGAATCTTTGTGTACAGTTGATTTACAGTAAACAAAATAATAATAATAATAATAATAATAATATTATAATATTATTATAAAATTAGGGGGCCAAACTTAAACAGTACATTCTTTATAGAAAAATAACACTTTTTTGTTTAATAAACATATATCAAAAAATGCCCCATAACGGAGCTACGCCCCCCTAAATAGGAGCTTAAGAGCATCATTTTTTTAAAACTATTCCAGAGGGTTGAACATGAAGACCTGAATTTTTGGGACTTTGCTAATTTTGACATTCTGAATCTGGATCTATAATCAAAACTGTTAAAATTTAATCATAGGCGTAACATTTGAGGGGGCAAATTTACAAAAACAGCCTCAACTTTTTGCAGAGTGAGTATTTTAATGTTTTGTTATAAAATTATGAAAATGTATAATTTTTCACGAAAAATAGGTACTCTTGCTTTGAATCGCTCAGATGCACCATTTTTGAGAAAATTGCAATTTAAATTACTATGCTTAGCATAAGTTCTAATAGTTTCATTAAAAAGCTTTGCGACAAAAGTGACGTTTGGGTTATTTGCTGACTTTACATTTATTTTTATAGTTTAGTTAATATTTTTTGGCTCGATTTTTGTTATTTTTTATTATGGAGCGATTTTCCAAATTTTAACACAAAATTTTAACGAAAATATGAGATGTGTATGCTATGCAGAGTAATTTATAAATGCATTTTTCTCGAAAATGGTGCATCTGAGCGATTCAAATCCAGACTACTTATTTTTCGTAAAAAACTATAAGTTTTCATAATTTCAAAAAAAAAGTTAAAATATTATCTCGGAAAAAAGTTGGGGCTATTTTTATAACTTTTCCCCCCCAAATGTTACGCCTATGATTAAATTTTAACAGTTTTGATCTTAGATCTTGATTCAGCATCTAAAAATTACCAAAGTGCCAAAATTTCATTTCTTTATGTTTAACGCTCTAGGAATAGTTTTAAAAAAACTATTCTCTTAGGCTCCTATTCAGGGGGCCGTAGCTCCGTTAGGGGGCATTTTTTGATACATGTTTATTTAACAAAAAAGTGTTACTTTTCTATGAAGAATGCACTGTTTAAGTTTGGCCCCCTAATTTCGGGACACCCTGTATATATATATATATATATATATATATGTATATAGGAAACATATGTTGACAAAAATATTAAATTATTCTTAAATATTGGTAATTGAATGTTTTTCTGCATTCTTTACAAAAAAATCTTCAACAATGACCGGTCGACTTCAAAGCTATCGCATCTCAAAATTGATACTTATTAGCCAGCTTTCGTTGCATGCCGCAATTCATTACCGCTAAAAAATATTCATGGGAAAAGGCAACATCTCGCAGTCAGCGTCGTGTACATGATTCTTTAAAATAACCGACTGACAGGACAAACACCCACGTGGGCTCTCGCCTGACTTTTCTTTTTGCGATGTTCAAAATGTTATTCTTCTTTGTCTCCCCTTGCTTCTCGTGATTCGTTCACATACTTTGTGTGCCAAATTCCAAAAGGGGCATTTGAGGTATTGTTTCGTGACGAAAAGTGCCTGTGTACACAAAGTAACAAGAATCATACCTGATCATTACAAGAATCAATTCTGGGTCATAATATATTTTTTGTTGGATTGTTCAAGTGTAGTAGTATAATTTGTATTGCATGATTATTTCCAAGCGCGAAATTAAATTAAAACTGATTTTTTTAAATTAACCCCCTCTTTTTCACTCCCAAAATGAACCCTGACAAATTCGCTTCTTTGAACAAAAATGTAACCCGGATTTTTAAAATCAACTTAAATTTACCTACAACGATTGAGTTTCTTCTTAGATTAACTCATGAGAAAATGGGGGAAGCTTTAATATGTTTATTGTCAAATCTTGACTAATCTTTGTGCATAAAGCCATTAAACATCTCCATTAAATATAATAGAGCGATGAAAAGTCGTTAAAAACATAAAAAATAGACAATAATAAATGACCCAAAAAAAGTCCCTTATTATTCGATTCAAAACGTTCCATTAAAAAACCACAACAAATAAACGCTTACGTATAAAAACCGCAAACAGGGTTAATGCAACATATAATACCAACAGTGAGCATTGAAACGGAATGATTTATGATACGGTGAGTGTGTAAAGGCGATGTCAATTTTTATAAATCACAATTGGCACACAGACGACCTCAAGCAGTGACAATTGATGTATGACTATTGAATTTTCAATGATAATCCCGACCAGTAAATTTTGCTTGCGAAATTATATTCATACGCTCGATACCTCTACCAGGTATTTACATTGTAGAGGATTAAATGCCTTGGTTTGTGACATATTTTAAATGGCAAAGATATTATAAAATATACTGATCAACACAACTCAAAATCAAAACAATAAAAAAATGTTTAGGGTAATTAGACTTACCCCGACAGCAGGAACCTTCATTCAAAATGGGCTGATGACATAAATGGCAGGGTCTGGGTTTCTTGAACGTTTTGCATCGAAATGCGTGGTTTGGGCCCTGAGGTGACGCGCTATTTTCACCCTGAAATCAAACAAAAACACCATTAAAATTTTTCACTGAAATAATTTTTAAATAAACATTTGTGTTGCGCAAATTGCTTCCATTGATGTGCACCACTGAAAAATGAAATAAAAATACTTCAAAAGTGAAAATTAGGAAATTGTTTATGTAATAGTTATTTATACTTGGCAAATATTGATCTAAAAGTTTTTCAATTAGCATTAAAACATTTTAATAATTTTAATGTGTGTTAATGACAGCATAAAATAAACAGAACCAAATACTAAAAATTAATTGCGTGTTTGAAAATAAACAGTCAAATTTTAATGCATAAAATTAAAAGTATAATTAGGTCCAGTGGCGGATTCAGGGAGGGGTTTACATAATTAAACGTATATTGGAAAAATCAAAAATATTAAACACCAAAATCAAAAACTACGACAAAAGGAATGTGTTTGAGGGCTTTTCTTCATCCTTGGTTAGTAAATTTTTCAATAAGTATTGGGCAGTATCATTAACAACATTTTTTATGAAGTCCATGGTTAATTTTGAGGTTATCGTCAGGAATCTTTTACTTTACTTTTCTTTATTAATAAGGACATTAATAAGAACAATTATATATTATATATGTATACAGAAAAATATCTTTCTTTCAGTAGTAAAATTGTCTATTGTAAGATCATTTTTCTTAGTTAAATCAATGTGACGTCGACAATCAGACTATTTTGGGAACTTTGGGTTTTTAACCATTATTTCTTTAGTTTTTATAGATGTGTACAAAAACTTAAAGAATAATGGTTAAAAGTGCACTCGTCATCATAAAACGCAAGGAAACCGGGACAACTTTTTAGGATACCTTACACTGTTCAAAATTTCATGACCATTTTAACACCAAATTAACACCATGGTGTATGCATACATGGTCTATATCGATACAAACCAAAATGGTGTTAAATATGATTCGTTGGTCCGGTGTTAATTCAAATACTAAAATAGTGTAAATTTAACTTTCACACAGTATTAAAATAAATTTTACCGTTTTTGGTCAAATTAAATCATACTAGACAGAAAAAAAGCAAACAGGAAGTTCCTTGACGCATTACTAGTATATTACCAGTGATATTATTCCAGAAAATTAAACCTTCAACTCGCTAGAGTTAATGTTTTTAGTGCGTTCCACCAACTTAAAATACTTCAAGTATTTCCGGCTTTTTCCACCTATTTAAGGTCTCTTTAGTATCGAACAACTTGTAGTGTCAAACAAAAGCAAAGGACTACCTGAGCTTATATACTCTTCATGTAAGTCAACAGAAGTGAGATTTAAGAACATCACGAGATCCACACCGCCTTTGCCGCGATCGGTACACACTATGCAACCGGGAATGCACGGCAAATTGTTTTAATCGTTTTAACAGATTGCTTTAGCTTGAAGTAACTCTTATTTTACAAACAACATATTTAGTAAACTGAACCATACAGCGGGTTGGTTTCACAAAAGTTTTCTGGGTTTATTTAACAAATTAAAAGTACTATCTGGTTTAGTACCGTCAAACTAGTCTTTGTTTATATTAACCTTCCCACAGTTGATAAAAATAAATACTTATGGGTCAACTAAATTAATATAAATAAACTATTCCTTTTTTCTGTGTAGGTGCACTTCTTAAATATTTTTATATAAACACCATTTTGGTGTTTGCTGTATATAACATTTTCAACCATAATTCATGGTGTTTATATAACACCACTTGGTGTTGGATTTTGACACCATTTTAAGATTACTCTGTACACCACAGATATTTTAAACAGGGTAGAGCTGAATATAATTCATTCCAATATTTCACATAAACCAGCTTGCAAATAGAGCTAAATATTCAAAATTCTTTGTCTCCTCAGTTCGAAACCAGTATCAAATTTAACAATTTAACTTTACATTTCTTAACTCCATCAACGCATTCTTGAGCCCGTGCAACATTGAGGCAACATTCAAGAACTTTTTTTTCTGTGTACCCCCACCCGAAATATTTTTCTGGATCCGCCCCTGATTATGTCATTATATTATGTATGTTAATGCAAATGTTTGGCACATTGCCTGACTGACGAATAACCATTACAGTTAATTCGTTAAAATCCAAATAACCAAAGTTAAAGTAGAATTATATTCAACTTTAATTTTAACACCTTTGAAAAGCAAATATTCACGGTTTGTCGCTGTATTTTTGTTTTTTGACTGTGGATGCAAATCAGCAAAACGAGCAAAAAGAAAAAATATTTTTTGTATTCCCGCATGGTGGATTTGGGAAAGAAGTGACGCTGAAAATACTATAGAAATATGAAACAAATACGATTGTTCTTTTAGCTTTTCATTACATTTTCATACATTAACAATAAAAGTGTACGGGTTTTCGCGAAATTTCATTTTCACACCCAATGGAATAAACAATAACGTGCGCTTTTATTTCTGAAATTAATTAATTTTAACACTATAAACTTCTCTTGCACACAAAAGCTTTGGTGGGGAATTAGTAAGCGTTTTGTCTATGTAACTTCGGAGGTTAAAGCTTATAACAAAAGACCTTCGTCACGAATTTTGTTGTTTTTAACCAATTTTCAAATTTTAATTGTTTAATCATTTGTTTAGTCATACAATAATCAGACAAAGGATAATTTTCAGTTTACTACAATCTAAAAACTAAACTTTGCTTACCAAAAAATTATTTAATAGAAATAATCTTTGAGTAAATAAGCTGTATGCATACACAGATTAAACTTGTTCGAAACCAGGGAATCGTAAGTCCTTAAAATCAGAATCTTTTTATTCATGAGAGGGTTTCAGAAAAAGACCGCATTTCCTTTTGAGATGCCGAAAAGTATGGTAATGTCACATAATAAACTTATTAAAAATGAAATCACGCTTCATGGATGACGACATCAATGCAAATCGAGTTGGTAAAGGGTGAGGTGTCCTAAAAGTACGCAATTTAAGCAGCCAACAAAATAATTTAAAAAAAAATAGTAAAAATTAAAAATTATTATACACCGCCGTACAATAATAAAAATGCATTGATATTACATTGAAAAAGTGGTTCCATCTATTACATTTGGCTTGAAATCTGTGCAGGTAACTAAAAACCTCAAAATGTAGGATTTCAATGTAAGTACTAAATTATATTATTATTATTATATTATATTATTATTATTATTAAACGATTAAAAAAATAGTATATACAACACGGCGGAGAAAGCATATTAAGTGTTTATTTTTTCATGATACTCAGACTTTTCAAATGAGGTATGCGTTTTTTTCAAAACACTGCTTACTACCCGAAAACTCAACTGTTTCTTTTTGGTTGGGCCACTCAATATTTGGATTAAAAACGTATTGTGCAACAAAATAAAATACTATAAATCTTATCTGTCAGATGTTTAATTTTATGCTCTCCAAACACCTAAAACCTTAATGGATGGGTAAAATTGAAAAAGAAGATAAAATGAAGAAGGTTTAAATAAATAAAAGTCAATTAAAATACATTTATTCAAAATGCATTAACGAGCTTGCAGCCACATGATTAATAACATGTCAAAAAGGGAGTGGTTATGTTTGAACACAAATCATTTTGACTGAACATTCATAAAATTTAAGGCTTCATGATCTACTTTCTCGGAGTTTGGCATAAATCACAGTAAGTACCACAACACGCTATGTGCGGTTTTGCCAATATAATATTTTGAAGAAAAATTTGTTTTTTACTTGGTTTCCTATTACCTATAGGTATTTATACCGGATGAGTTTTTTAAAGTGTTACAAGGGTATATTTCAAAAACAGTTTTGGTAAACTAATAGAGTGGGGGGCACAGTTAAACACATTTCTGACACCTACCCCCTTTCTATATTTTGATGGGCGGGGGTAACTTTGTATTTTAATGGGGATGATGCACTTTTTTTTAAATTTGAATCGAAAAAACTAGGTATGTGTGAAAAAAATGTTTTATTTTTGCTTTCGGTTACTTAATTATGATTTATTAGATTATAAGATACTAAAAAATATTAACAATTAAATTTCAACTAATTTATCGTCTGTCATGTCAAAAAATATTCAAAATGTCCTCCTTTAACTTCCAAACACATTTTTTCCAAATGAATTTCGTACACTTGATAAATTAATTAAAATAATTTTTTAATATTTTATAATTTTATAAATCATAATTCCGTAAGCGAAAGCTCAAAACAATTTTTTTTGCACACACTTAGTTTTTGACATAGATTTCATTTTTTTATCCCTATTGAAAATCCAAAGTTACACCCCGCCCCTCAAAAAAGGGAAAGTTCAAAAATATGTTTAAATATGTCCCCCCCCTCTCTGTTAGTTTACCAAAATTTCCCAAAAAATTTTTTAAACTGTTTTCGAAAAATACGAAAAAAACTCACCCTGTATATCTAGATTAGATTTTTGTATACACTTATTTGTTGATTTCGGGCTAAGTCAAGAACAAACAGGAAATATAAATATTTTGGCTGTAAACTGAAACAAGCAGAGTAAAAATCGCCTTATCTTAAAAAACAAATGTTTTGCAATGTAAACCAACAAATTAAGATAATATTTTGCTGGTATGTATACTTGCTTCTATTTTTTAATAAATAGAAGTAAACATTATTCGTCAGCATCCATTTGCATAAAATTTACATGGCGTATTAAAAAAGTTCGTATTTGCTGGAAATTCATATGCAAATCGGCCCCTTAAAAGCTCTCCGTAAAACCGGGGTTAATTTTCAAACTTAAGATTTTAAACGAGATAAAAGTTTTTCGGTTAAATAATTTTACAATGTTTGTTCAATAAACTCGAGAATAATTTTGCATAAATTTTTCACGGTGGGTCCTCGTAAATCTTATTTAATTAACCAAAAAAATCATAAGATACGAAGTATGAAATTTCACATTTATTTAAAGACTTCTTGAATTAAAGAGTATGTTATTAATAGGATATCGTTTACAAAATAACTGCCCGAGCGTGAATGATTTAAT